GTATTAAGTTATTTAATCTTTTAGTACTTTTACTTTCGATACTTAAGTACATTTGAAGGAAATACTTTTGTACTTTTACTCAAGTGGAGGTCTAAAGGGAGGAACTTCTACTTTTACTGGAGTAATATTTTACCTTGTGTATCTCTACTGTAACTCGAGTACATGGTTTGTGTACTTTGTCCACCACTATTTAAAAAAACTTAAAATCTTACATACACCACTGTGCGAAGGTCAGAGACCACTCTTTCATGTATTTCATTTCCACTCAAAATGGCCATTAAACACAAGTTTTCCCTTTTTAGCATCAGGAAAAAAGCAGAAGACTTATATTTAAAAGAATATTGCACAGTTGCTTTGTTTAGTGTGTCCAATCTTTACCGTTACTGTAGCTTCCAGTCTTTTATGACATAAAATAGGCATTAATATGTCGTTGGTCCCCCTTTGCAGCTCTAACAGCTTCCACTCTTTTACTTTCTACAAGATTTTGGAGAGTCTGTGGGAATTTTTGCTCATTCATCCAGAAGAGCATTTGTGAGGTCAGACACTGATGTTGGATGAGAGGTCCTGGCTCACAATCTCTGTTCTAGTTCATTCCAAAGGTGTTTGATGGGGTTGAGGTCAGGGCTCTTTGAGGGCCAGTCAAGTTCTTCCACACCAAACTCACCCAGTCAGGCCTTTATGGAGCTGCTTTGTGCACTGGGGCTCAGTTATGCTGGAACAGGAAAGGTTCTTCCCCAAACTGTTCCCACAAAGTTGAAAGCATAGAACTGTCCAAAATGTCTTGTTCTGCTGAAACATTAAGATTCCCCTTCACTGGAACTAAGGGTTCTAGACCAACCCCTGAAAAACAGCCCCATATCATCATCCCTCCTCCACCAAACTTTACAGCTGGCACAGTGCAGTCAGGCAGGTAATGTTCTCCTGGCATTCACCAAACCCAGACTCGTCCATCAGACTGACAGATAGAGAAGCTGATTCATCACTACACAGAATACATTTCCACTGCTGAGTCCAGTGGCGGCGCTTTACTCCACTCCATCCAGGGCTTGGCATTGAGCATTTTGATCTTAGGCTTGTGTGCAGCTGCTCAGCCATGAAAGCCCATTTCATGAAGCTCCTGATGTGCAGTTCTTTAGCTGATGTTGCTTCCAGAGGCAATTTGGATCTCTTTAGTGAGTGATTCATCAGAGGATAAGCACTTGGGGCTTCGTGGCTGAGCTGTTGTTGCTCCTAGATGCCCCTATTTCATCATAATATTACTTACAGTTGACAGGGGCAGATCTAGCAGAGCAGAAATTTCACAAACTGACTTGTGGCAGAGGCGGCATCCTACGAATGTGCCGCATTTAAAGTCACTGAGCTCATCAGTACAATCTATTCTGCTGCCAGTGTTTATGTATCAAGACTGCAAGGCTATATGCTTAATTGTATCCACCTGTAATGGGTGTGGCTGAAACACCAGAACTCAATAATTAGGAGGGGTGTCCACATACTTTTGTCCATATAGTGTATATAAGAACCATCATACACTATTGTGCTATTCATGGAATTGTTTCTGAATATTATGTTGCCTAGCAACCACAATCTACTGAACACAACCTGCATCACTTGGTTGAACAGTTGATTATTCTGAGTTGTAAGTTATTTATCAATCATTTTTTAATTGTTTAAATAACTTACTGTAGTAGTTTTTGCAGCTGACCATTTGTTTCTCATATTCCTGCCCAATGCTTCATTCTTTGCTCCACACATTTTCTAGGTTTCTTACAGTGTTCCGTATAATTGCACCACCGCTCTCCCAGCTTTTCTCACGTCACATACCGAAGACTCATATTTCATGCAATAAACATTAGGACTGAATGAAATTCAACAGGCAAAGACCATTTTGCATAAACAGGCTTCAAATTTGTAGCCATTTTAACGCATTTAACTTGCAGCTCTCCCAAAACCTGAGACCCTTCCAGATGTTCACGGTTAGATGTTTCCACATGTGCGGTACGAGGGAATATTCAATAACTGTGTAGACTGGACACGTATGACAGCAGTGGACTGGCATCATCTTTGTACTTCTACTACATCTACTAAGTGAACGGAAAATAAGGAGAATATTAATATAGATGTTCATAACTCTATTCAAACTCTATTGCTTTGTTGCAGCATTTACATACACTGAGTACTGTGCAAAAGTCTTGGTACTTGAGACAATTTAGAATGCTATTTATCTGAGCGGTAGGTGTTTTTGGCTCAGAAATGCTTATATTGGGATAAATAAAACCAACAAAAATCCCTTAAAATCCCAGGCTTATTACGTACTAAGGCTTATTATTCAGTGACTACATGGACATCAGAGCAAACTGGCTATTCCTAGGTTATAGAAGTGTGTAATAAGACTTTGGGACTGCCAGCAGGCCCTGGCCATTTAAGGGGTTACAACAAAAGGTATCTGCTTTACATTTGCCGTGTGTTGACTGGGGACGTCAAGAAGAAACCTGGAACCAAACCTCTTTTAACTAGCTCAAAAGATGACTACTTGTTTGAAAATAATACATTTTTCCTACTTTAGATACACAGATCAGCCATAACATTATGACCACCTCCTAGTTTCTACGCTCATTGTCCATTTTATCAGCTCCACTTACTATATAGGTGCACTTTGTAGTTCTACAGTTACAGACTGTAGTCCATCTGTTTCTCTGCATACTTTGTTAGCCCCCTTTTACCCTGTTCTTCAGTGGTCAGGACCCCCATGGACCCTCACAGAGCAGGTATTATTTGGGTGGTGGATCATTCTCAGCACTGCAGTAACACCGATGTGGTGGTGGTGTGTTAGTGTGTGTTGCGTTGGTACGAGTGGATCAGACACAGCAGTGCTGCTGGAGTTTTTTGTCCACTCACTGTCCACTCTATTAGGCACTCCTACCTTGTCAGTCCACCTTGTAGATGTAAAGTCAGAGGCGATAGCTCATCTGCTGCTGCACAGTTTGTGTTGGTCATCCTCTAGACCTTCATCAGTGGTCACAGGACGCTGCCCACAGGACGCTGTTGGCTGGATATTTTTGGTTGGTGGACTATTCTCAGTCCAGCAGTGACACTGAGGTGTTTAAAACCTCCAGCAGCACTGCTGTGTCTGATCCACTCAGACCAGCGCAACACACACTAACACACCACCACCACGTCAGTGATACTGCAGTGCTGAGAATGATCCACCACCCAAATAGTACCTGCTCTGTGAGGGTCCATGGGGGTCCTGACCACTGAAGAACAGGGTAAAAGGGGGCTAACAAAGTATGCAGAGAAACAGATGGACTACAGTCTGTAACTGTAGAACTACAAAGTGCACCTATATAGTAAGTGGAGCTGATAAAATGGACAATGAGTGTAGAAACAAGGAGGTGGTCAGAATGTCATGCCTGATCTGTGTATATTGTTAGTTTGAATTTTCTTCATTTGATATATGGTGATAAATGCCAAACACATTTACCTTTCAATTACAAGTCAAAACAGCCATTATGTACAAGATATTCATTTTTGGGAAATATTTCTTACAAGATTAAGTATAAGATAAAAAAAGGGGTGGAGACACTAAATACTGAAAAAACTGATATCATATTTACTTATTGAGACTTCTGTTATTTTCTGCTAAATATGTTTTCTAGTTCTTGTACTTAATGGCTGCTGCCACGGGAAATGAAATAAATTAAGGGTGGAGAAAAAGATATAGGCATTTAGTATGTCATAATAATGAGAACGTCTTCCATAATTATGACTTAGTATCTCAGAATAATGAGAAAGCATCTCATAATTATGATTTGCTATAACTTGCATAATATTGAGATTCTATTTCACAATTATGTGAAAGTCATAATTATGAGATACTAAGCCGTAAGTATGAGATGCTAAGTCATCATGAGAAAGTGTCATAATTAGGTGATACTAAGTCAGAATTATGACATAGTAAGTCATAATTATGAGATACTAAGTCATAATTATGACACAATGAGTCATTATGAGATACTAGGTCATAATTATGAGAGTAAATCATAACTACAAGAAAGTAAGTCATAATTATGAGATACTAAATCAAAATTATGACAGTAATTCATTATAAAGAGATACTAAGTCATAATTACGACATAGTAAGTCATAATTATGACATATTAAGTCATTATGAGATACTAGATCATAATTATGAGAGGGTAAATTATATAATTATGAGCGGGTAAATCATAACTACAAGAAAGTAAGTCATAATTATGAGACACTAAGTCATAACTATGACATAGTAAGTCATTATAAAGAGATACTAAGTCATAATTACGACATAGTAAGTCATAATTATGAGATACTAAGTCATAATTATGAGAGGGTAAGTCATTATTATGGGATACTAAGACATAATTATGACACATTCATTCTTATGAGATTTTAAGGCATAATTTTGAGATATTAAGTCATAATTATAAGACAATAAGTCATAATTGTGAGAGGGTAAGTCAGTATTATGAGATACTAAGCCATAATTATGATAAATTCATTATTATGAGGTGTTAAGGCATAATTATAAGACACTAGGTCATAATTATGAGTGGATAAATCATAACTACAATAAAATAAGTCATAATCATGAGATACTAAGTCATAACTGTGACACAGTAAGTCATTATAAAGAGATACTAAGTCATAATTACGACATAGTAAGTCATAATTATGACATACTAAGTCAAAATTATAGAAAACTTTTTATTTTTTTTCCAGTGGCAGAAACTGGTTTCCGTAGGATCGTGTGTTTAGAAACATCGAAAAACAATATTTCCTTTTTTTCGTAGACGCTGATATTTCTGCTTCTGCGTTCCTCCAACTAACGCACGAAACTCTCGAACGACCTTAGCAAGATGGCTCCGTTTCCGGCTACCGTACGAGACCTGAAAGTCCCCTATTAAACTACACCACGGCGGGTAGGTGTTCCTCTCGCGATATTTCCGAGCGAGCAAGTGCGAGAGGTTTCTGATTCCGGGGTCGGTGTGTGTGTGTGTTTTCGTACTCGTCTCCCTCCGTTCGCCACTGTGTGTGTGTGTGTGAGAGTGTGTGTAGTTTTTTTTATTTTTTTCTGCCTCGGTAGGGGAGGAGGAGGAGGAGGATGATGATGGCGGAGCTGGTGCAGGGACAGGCCTCGGTGGCTCAGCCTGGGATGAAGGGAGAGGGCTTCGCAGACGCGCTCCACCGAGCCAGACAGGTAAAAACTCGCTCAGCGCCGGTAAAGCGGAGCCGCGGCTCGGGCAGCCGGAGGCGGGCGCGCACACGGGGAGTCCGGGGCTTTTATTTCGGAAGAAACGCAAGTTACTTTTTAAAAAAAATGCCCCAGCACAACTCCCAGCCCTCCCTCTCTCTCTCTCTCTCTCTCCCCGGCAGCAAACACACTCCCGTGCTGCGCGCATACGGGGCGAACGAACACGCTACGCGTACAGCGAGCAATGTGACACATACCGAGTTAGCCAACATGCTACGAAAAGGCACGTTCACGAACACGCAGCAGCTCTCCAGTGTGCTCGTATAGAGCTGGTTAACACGATGCTGAAGTTAGCTTCCTCTTCGAATCCCCCCGTTCCACCTTAAACGTTCCACCAACATGTAACTGCTGCAACGTTTAAGGTGGAACGGGGGAAGCTGCGTTTATGCTCACGCAGCCGCTCCATACGTGCTTTTTATCGTGCATACAGAAGCTAAACTCGCCCGCTGACACTTGTAACTGCTGGCAGCTCCCAAATGTGGACGGTCCTGTGCGAAGCTAACATGCTAACTCCCCACACGGGCAGCTCCGAATGTGTTTAACGGTGCATGGCAATGTGGGCCAGATTAAGCCAACGTGTGCGAGAAGTCGCCACAAGTCCGAACTTCGCTTCCGAACGAGTCGGCGTGGCCGTCCCGTCAACTTTCCGTCGAAGTTCGGCGCCTGGAAGCAAACTAAACCCGAACTCGCCCCACAGCAGGCAACCTGTTGTTTGTGAAGAGCGGCGAAGTTTTCGGGCTAACGCTGCTTAGCGGATAAGCTAACCAGCGCTAACTCTGCTTGGCTGCGTGGCCTAGTTAGTGTTAGGTTAGTTTCCGCACAGCCGAGCTTCGTCGGTTTGTCGCCTTTCCAGCGCCAAACTTTGGCCAAAAAACACACTTCCCAGCTTTAAAAGTTCACTTTAGCTCGTTTAATCTTGGCAGCCTTCGCTGTCGTGCCGGAGTTAACGTTAACAGTTACTTTCGTCCAACGTTTGCGAACGTTAGCCAGGTTAGCTAACATGTTTACATCGTCGTTCTGGGTCCAAACGAGTCGTTTTGAGCGTCGTGTTAATGTTTGAAGGGGTTATAACGCGTTAAAAGCTCCGAATATCGACGGTTATGAAGGAGTGTGAGGGCCTTCTGAAATGTGAGCCAGCGCCGATTAGCCCAGCGTAACGTTAGCAGGCCACCGAAGTTGACTTAAGTAAGGGCTGATAAGTTTAAAGCAGGGTTTAAAAAGTAGGACGCCAGCGTGTCGAGTGAGGGCGAAGAGACTTAAGTTGCTTGACAGCCATTTCGCCGTGCTGTGGGCAAACGGAGTTGCCATTAAAGTTAAGTTGGGTTAACTGGGGGGGAAAAAAAAGCATGTGCTCGTTTGCACGGTGCTTTAGGCTGAAGCTGAAGGCCTTACAGAGAAGTTAAGCAAGCTCTGCATATAAATATCTGCCTCTGATAGCAGAGTTGCTATTAGTAGCTGTTTAAAAATAATATATAATAATAATAATAGTTCAAAATCGCCCTGTGCAGTTGAAGCCACCGCTCAGCCATATTTGCCCATGTGGACAGGCAGGCTTGTTGCTGAAATTTGCCCTCACTGTATGCAGCAAGAAGCAACCAGGCTTCTTATCTTCAAGCCTTTTAGACCTGGTTTAAAGCTGACTTTCACCACTTTTTCAGGATTTCTCAATAATTCAGTCCCTGAGGTGTAAAGAGTCATTCGGAGTGGTTTGAGGTGAAAAGGTTGATTGGAGAAATGTAATGACTTGGATATCTTAACAGTGGAACCAGGGGTCGCCGTGTCTACGACACAACTATAGCCTTTTTGATTACTATCCCAGACCAGCTGTGAACCCACAAGTGTCTTGAGGTTTTATGTGTAGCCTTGGTGATGGCTAAATAGTGATACATCGGAGGAAATAAGTTTTATTTGTGGGCTGTTTTACCTTACGATGCCCTGCGTGAACCCCTCCGCCATGAATGAGTTAAAATAAATGGATTAAAATACAGTTTAAACCAAGATTTTATCACTAAACTTTTATAAAAGACTGTTTCAGGTATCAGGCAGGATATATTTAACCGTTTCATGTAGTAACTTTCTGTGGAAAAAGATTGCAGAACCGTTCGGACGTCTGGTTCCTATCACCACCACTGTAAAGAAATCTGACCTGGCCAGTTTCTCTAGAATGGAGCATTTCACCCCAAACCACTCTGAATGACTTCGTTTACATCTCAACCATTTAATTGTGTAGACCTTTTATTTGAAAAGTTGCGGCGTTCCCCTTTAAGAATGCCTTTCCTTTGTTGCGTTTTCGCCTTTAGGGCGAAAAACATTGAAGACACAAAGTTAAGGCAGCTCTTTACAGACATTTGTACCTTGAAAAGGAGGTGATTTGGTGCTGTTACTGTTTGAGTGCACTAGTTTCAGAGTTTTTCACTTGTGAAAATGCAGGGCCGATAGCCAATTCAGACACTGAGGTGTAAACAGGCGAAGGGTTTTGTGTGAAGACGGATAGAGAGAGACTTAACAACCCTTGATTTCTTTACAGGGTGATGATAGGAGCCAGGGTATTACTACACACATACACACACAGCCATTTTATTTACTGTTCAAAACGACCAGTGAACCTACTGGTTTTCGAAGTATTTATTTTTAATTTTGATGATGGTAACAGTGGTAAATCTGAAGAAATCAGCTCTTTTTATGGTCTGTTTTGCATTTAAGTGCTCTGCATGTACCTCTCCACCGTGAATGTATTTTAAAAATGTGTGAAAACATTGTGCGTTTACATGCGCTCAATAATCCGATCATAATCGGATTTCTGTAGTTATCCGATTATTCAAATGGTCATGTAAACACCATACTCCGATATTGAAATCCGATAAATAAATCTGAAAAAGAGAGCTGGGTTTTAGGTCAATAATCAGAGTTCTCAGTGTGTGAGACTCTTACTCTGATTTCTTTCGGATTTCTTAGTTTGCGCATGTGTGAGGACAAGTGGCTGTACCAAATATAAGCAGGCAGCGTCGCTGTAAGGGCAGCAAAACACTTCGAGAGGCGCTAAAACCAAACACGAATTCAGGTTTTAAATATTCTTCGTCTTCTAGATGATGTATGTTCATATTTCCAGGTAAAGTGTTGTTAAAAGTAGTTTGAGTTTTACGTTATATTTACGTCACGTCGTCTTCTGTGAGTTTATTGGCTGGTTGCAAAGGAGAAATCTGATTGCTGTCTGACTCATGTAGACCTGTGGTTTCCCCATTATCTGATTACCCAAGAGCGTGTAAACGTGTTGATTGGATTACTGACAAAATCAGATTTTCTGCAGTTATCGGATTTTTAAGTGCATGTGAACACACTCAGTGTCTCGGGCGTCGTAACCATTTCACATATATCCTGAGGTCGTTTTAAGCAGCGTTAAATTTTCAGACGTCTGGTTCCAGTCACTGCTACTGTGACCAGATCAGACTTGATTAGTTTCTCTAGAAATGGTGCATTCCACATCACACCTCCCCAAATATGTCGACGTTTTGAATAACTGGTAGAATTCCCGTTTAAAGAAATGTAAGACTTGGTTTCATTGCAAACTTTTAGGCATGCTAGATGGTTTTTGCTTTTAATGTAACTGGCCTTTGTTGCGAAGCACAAAAGGCCATGCAGGTTTGCTTTTTGGCTCAAAGAAAGGCTGAGCACTGCAGAGGCATCCTGTCAAACCTACCTTTGTACAAGTGCTTGCATAACATGAAAAACCAGAAGTGTACCAGGCCAGCGAAGGCCTCTTTCACCGCTGTGTATAAGGGTGGGCGACATCATACCTGAAGGCATTTTCATCATACCTGATATGTCACATACATATAGTTTGTCTATATGGGGTTTGTCTATATAGAGGTTTGGACGTTGGAACGTACAAAATAAGCCAGTAAAACAGCACTGCTATATTTAATACAGGCTACAGGAAACTATGTAGGGGTGTGTGTGTGTGTGTGTGTGTGTGTGTGTGTGTGTGTTTCTCCTCCCCAGTGTTCGCAGAAATCATTTAGGAAGGAACTAGAAGGAAAATCAAACTGTTAAAATCTATGAATAAAATAATGAGCTGTCTTCCAATCAGCTACTTGTTGCTATGGAGTTTTTATTTTTATTTTCTATTTATTTTTTACTGACCCTTATGAGTCCCACAATGGGGAATTTTCACGTCCGTATTCAACCCATCCATGCAGTGAAACACCACTAGTGAACACACACACTAGGGGGCAGTGAGCACACTTGCCCGGAGCGGTGGGCAGCCCTATCCGCGGCACCCGGTGAGCAGTTGGGGGTTAGGTGCCTTGCTCAAGGGCACCTCACTCACATGCTGTCGGCTCAAGGGATGGAACCGGCGACCTTCCGGTCACAAGGCTGGTTCCCTAACCTCCAGCCCACGACTGCCCCCCCATATAGTGTATATAGGCCCATATATTATATAGTGTATATACACTGGTGGTAGTTGTTTACAGGCTCTCTATAATCTCTCTATGGTCTATATCTGTTTACGATCCATGCAGTTGTTCAGTGTTTTAGAGCTGTCGATGGTGTATGGAGTGTATCGTGGTGTAATCATCATCAGATTGCCGACCCCTGGCTGTGCTCTTATTATTCCTCCATTAGAATAGTTTATTAAAGTCCCACATGAGGCTTATTATTATTTTTATCCGGGCCGTTGCGTGTTGCTAGTCTTTTGGGAAGGCTAAAAGAAGCCTTGGTTCAAAACAGTTTGGCAGCCTCCATGTTAGCCCCATGGGGTCAAACATGATTTTGTTATGACAGTGTCTGGAACAGTCATGAGAAATTTTGGTCTAAAAGTGGGAATCTAGACTTTTTAAGATGAGAACAAACTGAATGTGAAAGTGATTGGCCAATCCAATGCCTCGACAAGGCGGAGCTCAAAGGCTGCGTTCACATTACCAGGCTGAAGTGGCGCAGATCCGATT